CTTTTCTCTCTCTCTCTCTCTCTCTCTCTCTCTCTCTCTCTCTCTCTCTCTCCCTTTCTCTCCTTCTCAAAAACACACGCTATTGTCTCTCCGTCTGGTTTCCCCAAAAAGAAGTAGCACTCCACATCGGCCTCACACGCCGCATCGCTATGAGCCGAAGAAGAACAATGGAAATGAGACGATTGGGCTAGGGTAGCGGAGTCGGTGCTGTCACACCTCACGCCATTCTTCTCTCCCGTCTACACACCCACACGCAGACACACACACACGCACACACACACGCACGCACGCACGCACGCACGCACGCACGCACGCACGCTCGCACGCACACACACACACACACACACACACACACACACACACCTTACATTTATGCTAATGGCCTTTGCAGGGCGAGAAGGCTGTGAATGACACGCTGTTAGAAATCGATGGCGCCCAATCTCCCGCACAGCCGCCATGATGATGTCGCAAGAGCAGACTGGGGGAACGCACGTGTAATTAAAGCTCAGCCCGGGCAGCACGTTTTATTACCTCCGCAAAGGCCTAGCAGGGAAAGAGTGCTGTGTGTTTGTGTGTGTGTGCTGAAAGGATTACATTGCGGTCCAAGTCTGGATAAAAATACAATCGACATTTGGGCCGTGCGAGAACTGTCCACTGTCACCTCGCCAGCATGCAAGTGGTCGAGTCCTGATGTCATCCTCCGGTGGTTCAATTGTTCCCACATTTTGTTATTTGCTCAATACTTTGTTTGACAGCAATTTCAGTTTTGATTCTTTTTTTTTGGCACACCCACCGAAACATTTTCAAATACATTTTAGAATCAGGCTGTGGGCCGAGCGTAACAAAATGTGGATGTTTGACGGTATTTTCCATGAACCGTTAAATAGCCTGCTAACTAACATTTGGATAACTTAAAACAAAATTTGCAAATGTATTTATTTATTTCCAATTTTGTTCTTTTGAGTCACCATCATGAAGTAGAAATTATCTATCTATAATTGCTACGTCAGGTCATGTATGTCTCCCTCCATTTACCACACATAATGACTTCTGTTATTGAGTTTGTTATACTGTAGTGTGTTACATTACCTTTGTGTGTGTGTGTGTGTGTGTGTGTGTGTGTGTGTGTGTGTGTGTGTGTGTGTGTGGCTACACTGCGTACGCCACTGGCTCATCAGCGTCTGCTTCCTCATTCTTGTCACAGCACACACTACCAATTGCTGAAACAACATGAGACAAGGCTTCTTTTTTTTTTTTTTTGTTCTCCACTCTTGATAAAAGTCGGTGGAGGTCTACCCTCCACTGAGTGCTCTTCTTTTTCATTCTTAATTGAGCGTGAGCATTACCGAAGGAGGAGGTGTGAGATAAAACGTTCATAAACCAAAACGCAGTGCCGGCCGGCCGACTCACCTTTTAATACTGAACTTAGTCGTGATGAGCACTTCACCTTGCTCTTCAAAATCCTCATTACCACCTTGCCCAAAATATATATATATAAGTCTGGACACGAAACAGCCGCCATGACTACCAATGCAACTGCACTTATTTTTTTATGATTATTATTTTTTAACACCACCTCTTCAAAGTCTGCGGAGAATTTCACACTGCAGCCAACAAATGCTATAGTAAAGCACACTTATCAGGCTCTTCACCATGTCCACCTACCTACCCTGAAAAAAAATGTTGGGTCCCGTCAGTGTGTAGGTGGAGTGTAGTCAGCCGGTAGGCTGTGTGTAGTCAGCAGGTACGTAGCCTCTAGTCAGCATGTAGTCATGCAGTAAGTGGTTTGTGTATAGCCAACATGTGGTCTGTATGTAAATTAGGTATGGTTCATGGGTGGTCTATGCATGTCGTCATTGTGTAGATCAGGCTGTCGTCAGGCCGCAGGTGGAATGTTGTCAGTATGTCGTCAGCTAGCAAATAATGTGTCGTCAGAGTGTCATGTATAGTGAACATGTAGTTAGTCTGGAGCCCCAAAAATGGTTTTATAGCCAGCATTTAGCCTGTGTGTTGTCACCCGGTAAGTTGTGCATAGTTTGCATGTTAGCGCTTAGTCACGATGTAGCTGGCATGTAGTCAGTATGTACTAATGGTGTGTTGTCGGTATGTAAATAGTATGGAGGTGGTTTCTAGTCAAACTCCATGTTGTTAGCATGCGGGTAGTCCTTGTGTAGGTGGTGTGTGCTCTGTATGCAGATGGGTTTAGTGAGCAACTAAGTGGCGTTTAATTTTTGGAGACACATCCTCAATCAGTAATGAGTATGTAGGTTGCGTTTCATCAGTGTTTGGAATTCCGATAAATCCCATCTGCTGCCTCGGTCTTGTCAGAGCGCATATTCACTTCACTTGATGGTAGACGTTCATCGTAGCCATGCTAAACTAACACATCCAAGACAGTCTGGCACACTTAAAACCTGCGTGGGCTTTCATTTCTTTTGTTTGGTGGTTACATCCTTGTGACGGGCAGCCAGTGTCAAAGTCATCTCAGGCTTCTTAAATGACTGGCCCTAAAAAATGAATATGCCACTTAACAGCGTTTTTCTGTTTGGACCGGATTAAATGGCAGCACAAATCCACACAAATACACGCACACGCACACACAGAGGTGAAAGTCCCTACATAGTGGCCAATGTTTAATTCATGCGACCACATGACGACGCCCCAGAAAAGCAACAGAAAATGCGAGAGAGGCCGAAGGGCCAAAGCGCAGGCTGAAATGCGGTAAAACGGAGGAGAAAATGGACGTCACTAGTCATGAACGACACGGGCCAAGTGGAACGCTACGCGCCAGCCGGGGCAACTCCCCCCGCAGGTGAGGCCCAGAAACGAGCTGTGAACAAGCTGCTTTGGCCGGCCTGACACCTCCAGGCGGGCCAGGGAACAGGTGGCCTGATCCACGGGATTAGCCCGCGGTCCTGCTTGCTCCGCAATGGAAAATGACCACAGCAGCAACGTTAGCTAACAATGATGAGTACATTTTCCTTGACATAACGAGCCAGATGAAAATACCCTCTCATTAAATGATACCAAATTAAAACAATATCGAGCAAATCACTTTTTGGGAAGCTGGACCTGCTATTCTCACAAGCTAACTACGAAACTAATTAAGAAAATTCCATACACGAGGCATACTTTTCTGGAATTTATGGAGTTCTTATGTACTTACAAGTAACGTAAGTGGAGATAGATAGTAACTGAAACAAACAGCATATTAATTACTGATTACACTGTACAATTGGTGCCAAAATGCAAAGTAGCTAGCTTATACCGCAGCCCTATACATAAGCAGCTTGGTATTTTTTTTTTTTTTTTTTTAAATAAACCAACCTCCATTTTTCGGGAACATATAAACAAACATGAATTTTTTTAGTCAATTTTTAAGAACGTAAACCAACCTTAGCAACGTCCAAGTGACGAGACTGTAAAAGGCTATCTTCCCAATGTTTTACTCACTTGCTGGAAATGTAAACAATCCTGAGCTACACTTTGGCTTGAGGCTCATGTTCACTTCCTGTATGATGAAGGACATGGTGGAGACTTTAATCATCGGCAAGTATTTAAGCGCTTTCCATATCTTAGCTTCTCCATGACAACCAGAAATTCTCTCGCGACTGCGGGGAGATGACGGGAGGGAGCGCTTTCAATCGTCCGAATTAATGTTCCCGCACGATAAGCGAGCTTAATATAAACGACGACAAAAGCCGCCACTCACCCTGCCAACCAGGATTGGGTCAGGTCCAGAAAATTCTTCCAGCACAAACATTTGGTTCCAAACCCATCCTCTCTTGGCTCGGCTCAGCAGTCGCTGTCCTTCGCCGGGACCGGCCGCAGTCTCGGCGCCTCCGACGGGCATCATTGACACGCAGGGAAGCAAAGTAATCCACAGCAGGAGCAAGGACGTCCACAGATCTGTCGGCATCTCCTCCGATCTCCTCTGCATCCTGGATACTGTTGGATTTATGATTTTTTTTTTTTTGGTTGCTTTGTTTGACAGCAGAAACACTCGTCAAGCAGGTGGATGTGCCTCAAATGGTCAACAAAAGGTTACTGGCATTAAAGGTCACTTGGCAGGGCCTTCCATAGTGGCGAGGCGTCTGGCGCGGCGTCCGTTCACGTTAGCCCGAGTGGGAGACCTAAACCAGGAAGACACAATCATAAAGGTTAATGCCCCAGAAATCTAAATGGTTTTTTGTTTGTTTGGTTTTTTTTTTTTTTTGCTAGATTAAGAAGAAAATTGGCTGCCATGTTACAATGAGTGTAATTAAGAGTTTATAGATGTGTTAATAACTTCATACTTGTTCCTTACACAAAAAGTTTTTGTAAAAAAAAATTTTAAATAGTAACATTTAAAGTGCAATAACTTTACCAGAAAAAGATGGTTGTCATGTTGTATTCACTGTAGTAAAGGTGTTATAACTTATTAATACCTGGTTATAAAAAAAAAAGGTTTTTGATGATTTTTTTTTAAAAATCAATCAAATGTAAAAGAAATACGATGAATCCAAATAAAACATGAATGAATTGATGAAAAAAAGCTAAATTAAATATAATAGCAACTACATGTGCAATGAAATGGAAAAATAAAACACAATAAAAAAATAAGGCATTAAAGTGAATAAAGATTCTCCTGCCGAAGTACTGTTAAGCAGCGCAGCAACCCCTATCTCCCACAACATCCCCACCAACCTCTACCTTAGATTGCATGTGAGCATGCAACATGTGCGTGATCCACTTCACTGCATGGTGTGCAACACAAAATATTTACAGTATTGTCAAATGAATTTCCCCTTGACGGCTCATAAAGAATACTTTTTTATAAAACGTTACTTATAAAGAGAAGTACGTCATATATTATATTTTGGATTATTTACTCTAATGTTCCCTTTGGCTATAGTTATAAATGCCTAAATGACCACAGAAGGTTTAAAGACCGAACTAAATGTAACACTGGATTCGCCGAATAGTGCGCCTTCAGATTCGCTGTTTTAGATCAGGTGCAACTTATTACTTAGCTTTTATTAAGCGAAAATAAACTATTGATAAACCGTTAAATAATGTACCAAGTAATATTAATGCACTTTATGGGTTTACATTGCACAGTGTAGATTTATAGTTGTACAGTCGTGCATGTTGCCTGTGTTTTGTCAAAAAAGAAAAAGTTGATTTGAATGATGAAGGAACTTGTGGAACTTGATGCTTTTCAGATCGACTGCAGTCATTTTTGTTCAATACTTTCAAAAATACGGAAAAGTTTTTTTTTTTTTTTTTTTTGAATTTATGAGTTACATTGCTCCATATAGAGTACCAAAACGCAATCACACTATTTGGCAAGAACAAGGTCACTTTTGCTGTTCTGTCAAAACTGCGTCACCCGTTTTAAGTAATTGCCTGATTTTGGTGATTTAATTTTCAGCTGCTTTGTGTGTGCGGGCACATTCGAGTCTGTGTGTGTGTGTGTGTGTGTGTGTGTGTGTGTGTGTGTGTGTGTGTGTGTGTGTGCGCGTGCGTGCGTGTGGTTTACTTTATAGCAGCTGGCTCCTGATACATGTTGAGTTTTCATGGGTTCCTTCCAGGTGGGCTACTGCTGACCCACAATGATTTATAAATGGCTTTTCAAACATTTTGAAGTGTGGGCTCAGTATTTGGCAAGTTGGTTGCCGCCACTTGTGAAAATCACCAAAACCCGAGTCTATTACATTATTTATTCATGAGCTACACGCTATGCAAACCAGGCAAAGCGTTGTAGCTTAAGGCAAGCGCACTATTTGGCAAGCGGCAGGTCCTTTTATCTGCTCTGAGCAAAGGCGTTTCTCCGATCAAATAAATTTGATGTACACAATTACAATGCTTTTAGAAAGGACTTTTCAAGCAATTTGAGAGTGGGCTTACTATTTGGCTACTGCCTTACGTAAGCCTTTTTTTTTTCTTGTTCAGGGAGCCCAAGTGAGAGTCTAGAACAACTACAGCATGATTTATTCATGAGCTACACCGCTACATGTAACAGGCAAAGCTCTGCATGCTGAGCGCGAGCTCACGATTGGACAACAAGACCGTTCTCATCAAATACGCTCTCGTAGGTTGATTAACATTTCTTTTTACAAAGCGTTGAACTATTTAATGACCAATTTACAAAACCTTCACAAGGGGGCTGCTCTTATTGTAAAGAGGCATGCCGCGATTCGCTTTTTAAACACAGAGCACTAAACGAATGCATCTTTTTACGTCGGCAGCACTCTGAGTCTTTAATAATGCGGCGGATTTAATCAGCAGCTTCTCTCAAATGTCACTTTCGTTATTCGGCTCCTCAAACTTGACGCACGGAAAAAGATGAGGGGCCACTACTACAGCTGCTAGCTCCCATACCACTATTACCACACACACACACACACACACACACACACACACACACACACACACACACACACACACACACAAAGCGCATGTCACCGCTTTGGGGAGTAATACACTTCTCTGCAGCAAGGCACTTCCAAAGACAATAAGTGGCAGCCTACTGCACCTCCAGCCAACTGCAATATCGTAAAGTGCGGAGTGATCCGTGCTGCCACAGCCGCCTGGAGACGGATGGGGCGCGAGATAAAGGAGGGGGTTAGGGATGATGGAGCATGTGGCTAAGAGTTGCTGGTGCCACATGTAGGAAAATGGGGTGCGGGGTACCAGGAAAATACGTGGACACGGTGCAGAGTGTGCTTCCGGAATACTGGGAAATAAGACCTGGAAGGCTGGGATACAAGAGACTAGGAAATTATACTGGTGCCTGAGGTAAAATCGAGTGCACAGAGTCCTGGAAAAATATCGGCACGCTTGATGTATAGATAAAGCTGTGTATGATATTAGGAGAATGTTGGTACTGGAGGCTTAATCTGATATATACAAGAGACGAGGGAATTACACTCATGATCGAGGGAGAACACCGTACAACGGGATACTGGGAAAAGATACTAGTGCTGGTGGCAGAATACATAATACGGGATAATAGGAACAGATACTGGTGCTGGATGCATGTAAAGGGGTGCAAGATGCTGGTAAATAAAACGGGTGAATATGAGATGCAAGGAACTAGAAACATCGTGCTGGAAGTAGAATACAGGATACATGGGGTGCTGGATGCAGGAATTACGGGTCGCAGAAGACTAGGAACATGGTGCTGGAGGTAGAATATGGGATGCAAGAGATGGCTTCAGGATGCTGGAGTGGTTTAAGGTTTTTTTTTTGGATCACATTCAGGATTTGGGGTGAGCGATATTGTTGCTGGATGTGAGAAATGAGATGCAGGACACTGAGGAAAGAAAACATACTTATGCTGGATGGAGAATATGAAACGCCAGATACAGGGAAAAGATGCCGGTGCTGAATGCTGAATATACGGGACGCTCTGGACTGGAAAAAAATACAGTTTGTGTTTGTAGAAGAATATGTGGCTTGTCGATACAGCGGAAGGGTGAAGGTTTGCTCGGATTTTGGGAATAGGCACATGATTTATGGCTGGGCCCGCACACTGGGAACAGATGTGAAAACATAGAAGAGATGCAGAATTCCAAAAGGACTAATTCAGTCTTCGGGGAACGGGAAAATAATGGTAATACAGTGCACAGCTTTGTCCTGGAGATGCTCTCGGGGTACGAGGATTTTTAAAATGCTGCTGGACAAATACAAAAGGGTGATATAGGAGATGACAGAAAGACGGAAGATGCTGGCAATTGTTAAGGGGGAACTAAGGACTTTTGAATTGGGCTCAAGTTTGACGGAAATGGGTGAAAGATGTGGGATGCTGGATGCCTGGTACTGGGGGTGGGTGAGAAATATTGCTCTACGATGAGGGATTTCATAGATGGAAGACGATGCGGGACACAAATTGGAATTAGAGGACAAGTCAGAGACTGAGGATGGGTGAAAATGACGAGGGAGCGATGTGTGGACTATCGACCGCAGACGCTCGGATGCTTAACGGACTCGAGGAACAAATTCAGGACACTGAAACGCTTCAAGGATGGGGAAAGATTTTGGAAATGGGAATATTTCACATGGAATAGGCTGCAGTGATGTGGACGGACAGTGAATCAAGTGAGTGGGAGTGGGATACTAGAAAGAGTTTAAGGATAGTGACGCATTTTGGAAATGGTAGGACGTCACTCGGAATAGGGCGCACTATACGGGATAGTGGACGTCGGATAATAACGGTGAAAAATACGAGGACTGACGTAAATCACTGCGAGTGGAAGTGGGGCACTGAGAATGGTGAATGGAGAGGGAAGAATTAAAAAAAATGTCCATAAGTCAAAAAAATTGTGAAACGCTGCATGTCCAGTGCAAAAATACTCGAGCGTAGAAGCGAGATATTCTAGACAGAAGACACAGATTGAATGTGGGACACCAGGGATGGATTTCGGGAATGGCCAGAAAGTGTTTCACCCAGAAAGGTGAAAACTACAGTCTGCTAGACATCGTTCACGAGCGATTGAGGGGAAAAATACTTGCGAGTCATGCGGTGTACTATGGATAGAAGACACTATACGAACTCGAGGAACAGATGCGGGGCACTGGGGAAAGGGCACGGGTTGCTCAAAATGTGTGTGAGAGGGTGGGCGGTGGGGGCTTCGTGATGCTGGATGGAGGACAACTGGCAATGGTGGAAAAATCCCGGTCAGTGCGATCACATCAAAGGAAGCGAAACTTAGCACAGCAAGAGTCGATGCGGGATACCTGCAGACGGGAACGAAGGTGGAATACTGAAGGAAGTGTCCATTACGAACGGACAAAACGGGAATTGAGCAAATCCGGATTTTTCGACTCAGTGAGTGAGCGTATCATTTTCAGCACCACGGAGATCGGACAGCTCCCCCGCCGAGGCGGAGGAGCTGTCCAAAGCGCCCGACTCACTCGCTGCTTTTTTTTTTTGGGAGAGGGGAGAGGGGGGGCTTCTGCCGCTTTTTAGTGTTCGGCTGTTACAAACCTGTCAAAACATCACTTGAATCTAAAGTTGTGGCTGGGGGGGGTCCCGCCAGTAAAAAAAAAAAAAAAAAAAAAAAGGAGAAAGAAATAAAAGTGTGATTCGGCGCACACGCGGACTGCCCGACGTGAAGTTTGAGTGTCGGTTGCGGCGCTCGTCTGCTCGTCTCGGGGAGAGCAGCAGGTGCAACTCGGCAGCGCTCGGCGCGCGCAGCAGCCGGAGGATCATCGAAGTTGTGGCTGTCTGCATGCACGACGACGGTCGGACTTACTCGTGACACTTGCATTCTTCTTCTCCGCTGCGTCATTTTTCAAGCCCCCCTCCTCAACGAAAAGCAACTCCAGCGTGCACGAGATAATGGGGGTGGGGGGGGAAATGAACAATTTGCCGCTGCACCTCTCCCAGACTTGCCCTCCCCCCCTCAAAAAAATGGAAGAAATCCTTTTGCGCGGCTCGTCAAGCGATACGAGTCGAGAGCTCCGACAGGCTCACTGGCCGGATGGAGGAGTGAAGAAGAAGAGTGAGGTAGAGGAGATTGAAGAGAGGGAGAGAGGGAGAGAGAGAGAGAGCGAGAGAGACCGAGAGAATGAGCGACACCATCACCAGCACCACCACCACCACCCTTCGCCAGCGCTGCTCATTGGGTCAACAGGCGCGCAAATGAACGCGCAGAGGTGGCGCGGTTCAAAACTGAGCGCTTTTATCACATCCAAACGCATCAGTCCACTTTAATGCTTCCACTTATTTATATTGGACAAGATCGGTTTGTAAAGGGGGTGCAGGGGGTGGGGTGGGGGTAATTAGTGCCAGGTTGTCATGTGATGCACGCACGCACTCACACGTCCTCACTGGCCTGTGGGGAGAGCTAAAGAATTCACGATTTGTTAACATGAGATTAATTTATACAAGTTTTAAAATACAATATGTGATTGGATTGGATTGGGATGCATTGAAATGAAGCGCTTCACATGAATCAAAGCATCCCCAAATTACTTTTTTGCTGCCTTCTGCTGTAACTCAAAGCACGTTGGAAAAGCCTGGAAGTAGTATTTCTGCATATTACAATGTATTCATACAACACTCTTATTTTATTTAGCATTTGCCATCTCAGCCTTCTAGAATATTTATTTTAAAATTATTTTGAAAAATGTATGAGATCAGATTTACACTAAGATTTGACATTTCACTTTTGCTGCAACTATTTTCAGATATTTATACAACAAACGTCTTGATTGTTATCATTTACATATATTTTTTATTTCTATTTTATGCATCATGCTTCAACTCAGAGCCTTTGAGAATCCTACAACCGTGTTTCAAAAACTATTATAAGATTGGATTTACAACTTCATTCATGTATCTAATTTTTGCCTTTTGCTGTGACTGTTTTTACCCCAAACGTATATACTACATCATCATTATTATTCTATTATTGTTATTCTTATTCTTATTATGTTATTGTTGTCATTACTTTGTTATCCATCTTCAATATTAAATTTCAAATGTAGTATTTTAAGACATTCTAAATGTTTCAGCGGTCTTCTGAAATCCCTTGGCCGAGAGGTTCTGCTCATCATGGCTCTAAATGAGCGTGTGTGATTGCATGTGCGTGTGTGCGTCTGGAAAGGAGAGACGGGGAGCGCGCTGGTGTGGGCGCCCTCTAGCGTTCACTGGCGACGTGGCAGCAGTGCGGGAGGGTGCTGCTCTTGTGTTGTTTTGAGGCGGTTCAACGGGGGCGGGGGTGTTGGCAGTCTTCATTAGTGAAGTTCTGTTTGTCTGACACACGTGGCTTCCTTCAGCTCACAAATCATAAAAATAGAAATAAGATGTCCCGGTCCCCCTCCTTGCCATCATCAGTCAATATCATTAACATTTCTGGTTATATGTGTGCGGCATTCAATGATGTCACATCAGCAGCTGTCGTCCAGCATGTGAATTTCTGTGCAGTGACAGGAATCCGATGATGTCAATTCAGATGCCAAATATTTATAAAAACTGGACAAGGTCCAGTTTTTTTTTACATTAATTGCCATACAAGTGTAAAAAAAAATACCACTGAAAATATCGACACATTAAAGACATTTTTTTTTTGTTTTTTTTTTAAGTCTTAGTTCAAATGACAAAGGCATGATTTATGTCAGACATTTGGGCTGGACGATTATTTTAAAAAAAGTAATTCTCATGATTTTTTTTCAGATTGAAATCATTATAGTTATAATGATTATACATTGATGTGAAAATTTTGGAATTATTCATCTCCTAAAGCTCACCTACTCCGTATTATCATCATAGCCTCAAGCCCATTCATCCCCACACGTTCAACACTTTATTTTTGAGCACTCTATTCTTTTTGTCAAGTACAAAATGACCTTGGAAATATATCAGGTGAAATTCAATCCTCTTACGTTTTCATTCTAACATCTACCTACACCTTTGATGCCTTGCATCTGTGCGCACATTGAAGCCTTGAATATTATATCTCGTTATCACATTTATTTTATCTGATGTTATTTTCACAAGGCTTGGGATTTACTGCGCTAACCCTGGACCTCAGGGAGGCGTGCGCTCGATACAACTTTTTCACTTCTGATATGATACAAATATTGCAGCCTTGAGACGTGTCTGATACCAATATCGGACCGTGACCTCACACCCCCAAAATATTTCTACCTCTTCCCGCCTCACTACTATCGTGGTATGAGATGATAAAATGAGCCCCTGCACACGACACAATATTTATTTTGGTAGTTTTTACCAAAGTAAATATTGTGCCACGCACATTGGGGTTTTTTTGGTGCATTTCGGGACAACTGAATCCCGTACACTACACGCTTGCTACGCGAGCAACATGGTGCATTCAGGGTACTTCCACGTCAGAAACACATTAATCGTTTTTCTGGGATTATGACATTTCAAAGATCAAGAGATGCCAAAATTATAATCACGATTACATTCCAATTAATACAGTTAACAAGAGTTATGGAACATTTTTGACTTTTTTTTTTTAATTCTCATGTGAGTGTGAATTCAACCACTGGGCAACATTAAAGCTGCAGGGAACTCTACATTACAACAACAGAGCCATCAGTTTGATATGACATTGGCTATGCTTTTTGTGTTAATGGGATATCCAAAATCCCATTAACGTAAAAAAAAAAAAAAAAGATGTTTTTATGATAATGTCAAGTATACCCATCCATCCATTCAGCTGCCTTTGGGCAAGAGGAGGAGTACACCCTGAACTGGTCATGAAAAACATCGCTTTCATCATGCATCATTCTCAAGAGGTGACATTGTTAATGCCTTTTTAAAGATGATATTAATTTAGAGGATGGTTAAAAAGACCTCTATTGACGTTATCGCAGACCAACTCATCATTTTAAATCACCTTTCTCAGAAAGCAGATGTGGTGTAAATGAGAAGGTCAGCGCATTAAACGGGAGAGTAATTTAGCCACTGCGGTCTAAACCCAGCCTGCCCTCCCACCGCGCACCCGCAACCCCATCCAGATAATCAGACAGCATTAAAGTTAGCGGCGAGGAGACGGTCTTGAGGAGTGGAGAAATCGACGATTAATCAACGATTGTCAGCAGCATTAAATTAATCACGCCGCCGCCGTCTGGCGCAACTCAAGCAAAATTCGTGTTTCAGGAGATTTTTGAGTCGTACGCTGCTTTTCACTTTGCGCTAATTTGTGACTTAAAAACAAGCCTGTAAAAACATGTTGAACTAAAAACAAAAACAAAAAAAAATAAAAATTACGATAAACAGGCTTGACTCATATTAAAAGAGATGAAATACAGTCAAAATTGTAACATGGGCTTCTCATTTCAGTATGGAGGCACCCTTGCAGAAATCTGTTTCACTGCTGTTTCAAATCTAACTTCACTGCGTGCTTGAAAGGGAGAAACAACAGCACGGTCTGGTGGGCAAATTTAAACAATTCTAAATCAAATTTAGGGTGGCATGGTGGCCTACTGGTAAGCACTTTGGCCTCACAGTGCAGAGGTGCAAGCTTCGATTCTGGCTCATGGCCTTCCTGTGTGGAGTTTGCATGTTCTCCCCATGCCTGTGTGGGTTTCCCAACAGTCGGCGTCACAATGAAGGCATTTGACAGCTACATGCGAAACCGCCCGATACGACACACACGTTATCGTGACAGCAGCCAAGCAGCCTTGCCAGAAAACAGCGAAAGGTGTAAAAGGCTGAGGCATGCTTTGATTGTGGGGAAAAGGTTGGACCACCTGATGGATAAATACAAGTTCAACAGAGAATCAAAGTGGCCTTTTCAATGGTTTTCAATTGCCTCGTTTTTGTTTGGTCGTTTCTTCGATCCACGGCTGTTGTTTTTGTGTATCAGCAGCCATGAGTCAGAAGTCCATTGATTTGGAAACATGATGAGCAGTTTTCTTTGATTACGGGATTTAACTTTCATTTCAGGACACATAAATGTGGCCGCCTGCTTTGAGTCGGGACCGTGTGATGGATGAATATCCAATCGGGAACCTAGTCCAAAGGGAAATGTTAACATCAAGAATTTCATCATGGTTCATGTCAAGATAGATGTGGAATGAAAAACAGCAATAATGGAGTCAGAGCAAGAGGCAATTTATTTTCAAACAAAACGAAGGAACAACAAAACATGGAGGTTTTCGTGTTTGTATTAATCCACTTGGGGGCGAGGATAACGAGTTTTTGCTCAAATTCCATGTCTGGACATAATTGTGAGCTTGCAAAAAGCTCACAGGAACAAGTGTCGCAATGTTTCCGAATGGTGTTCCTCTGATGCGACTCCCACAGGATCGCCGGTCGCCTCCAAAGATTTGGGGAGGGGAGGACGAGGCGGGGTTGCGCGACTTCAAATAGCCGCGCGCGCACACACTAACACATGCTAGTTATTAATTAGAAAGCGGGAATCCCTGTGAGGTTTGGTCTTGGTGTGAGAAAAGAAAGAATGCGGCAGTCCCGCGGCTGCCAAAGCTGCGAGCCATTTCAAGTCCGTCTTCAAATGCGCCCTCCCGCTGCCAAGTATCTACGGGAGATGTTGGGATGAATCCATCCAAAACATCTTCCTTTCACGCCTGTTTACAATGACACACTTTCACAGAAGTTGTCACTTTCAACATCAACATTAAGACCAGTATTGATGTACTGTGTGATGGGCAAAATAGCAAAACTATCACCTGCAGGTAGGACACCTCGGTTCGAAGGACCGGTAATTGTGAACAACTGGATGCTTTCGTTGTCCGTAGGTGTTCGGGGACCTGGCAGGACACTTCTTGTCTCGCATTAGTGAACAGCAACCATGCTAACGAGAAGAACAACATCACTGCTGCGATGCCTCGGCATCACCTAAATGAGTGTCATGTCAATGTGTGCGTTCCAAGCCAACATGGTGAAGCAGCATTTTAGCGGTTCTGCTGCACACAAATGAAATAAAACTGCCAACAGAAGTGCAGTCAACCCCAAGTGTGAATATTTTTAAGTCCAGGTTAAAAAGGCTTCTCTCGCCCCCCATCCCTGCTTATGATGTCGCTTTAGTTAAGCGTTTTCAAAATGTGAAACCAAATCTATTTTTTCTTGCACT